AAATAAAAATAACGATAAATCAATTATAGCAACAATTATCAATGAAGAACATGAGGAAACATTGCCGAATAAAGTTTTTCCAACAGAAAAAAACGGTAGCGAACGTAAATCTTTGGATGATAATAATCTAACAATTCGTTATCGAACCTATTCTGACATATTCACATATCAAACATTAATTAATACGAGTTCAAGAATATCCCGTCATCATTCAGATCCGCTAACATCATCTGGTGAAACAACACCAAATCAGCGTTTACATCACAGTAATCCATGTTCGAGATGTCAAATAAATTTGCATAATGAACGTGCCATATCGATGAGTGTTGGTCGTTGCGAAAATCGATTTTATCATTATCGAGGAATTAATAAACGTTTGAGGAGGCCACCATCATATATAAAAGAATTGAAAGCCTATTTAGCCCATCGAGAGGCATCGGTTACGGACATTGTCAGCATTAAAGATATGAAAAAAATTAGTAACGTCTTGGTGTGGTTAGCCAAACAACCGACGCCCCTTTTACAACGTCAACAATCATTTAGTGCAGATAGTAGTCCACCATTAAATGTTTCTGCATCATCTGATCCTACCTTAAACGAGAGAGATAGCAGACCGAGCGCAGTTGAAAACGAGACTGTTGTAACATCAATCACTGAAATTGTTTCTCTTTCCGCACTCCAAAATGATCCACTTCAACAACCAATATTTTCTACTTCCTGTCATTCTGGAACACCAACGAACAATCGATCAAGAAACAAAGCGATTGAATCAGCATGGGGAGTTTCATTGAGACCTCAACAAGACAGACAAGTGGAAAAAATTTTTCACGTTGATATGACGTCAGAACAACGTCAACAAGGTGTATCAATTGAACAGAATACTATCGATAATATCAATCCGATACGAAATGATCAATCATGCTCAACAACCAACATCAATATTTCATCCTGTTTAAATCAACAAAATAGTATTATAGAATCAAACAATAATGAACGAGAATTATTTGTACAATTAATGAATAAAAATGTTGTTGATCAAGAAGAGGATTCAGTGATTATTAATGAAATTTCTCAATATTCAGGTGCAAATTATCGACTAGTTTTATTTTCATATTTCTTAGATAATTCTCTTCATTTTCGAACTAATATTGATTCGAGTTCATTCGTTGTTGTGTTTCCAGTATTCAAAATTCAGCAGATTTTCATTTGATTGTTGAATAACTCAATCCTCGACATAGTATCAATAGTAGCAACTATTCTCCTTTGAGTAGAAGAAAAAAATCAATGGATAATAAAAACTATAGTACTGTATATTTCCCATTGATGTTCGAAATCCTTCGTTCTTAAGTATCTCACTAACACTGTGGCTCTCTTTTTTCTTGCTTATTATCGAATTTTCTTAACATATACACATGGTTAACTCAACTTTTTATCTAAGTTATATAAGTAATGCAATTATCTGCAATGGAGAATTCAGTGATTGATTGAAGTTCAGTGCCAAAATTCTTTGCTTTAGATCCAATTTCTACCACAGAGAATGTTCCAAATGAAATTAATACAAAATTTTATGGCAAGCCTTCTAGTATTCATATTATGTATGACAAAGTCCCATGGTCACTGCATATTAGAAAAGAGGTAAATTCTAACAGCCTTCAAATCTCATATAAAACATTATCTGCCATTAAGGTATTTTCACCATGTGAAACACTCGAACAACCACTCTTAATCGATTTAATATTCATACAAATTTTACGAGATACATTTTCACCGACCTGTGTACGAATTAATAACGAAGAACGTCTGTCAATGAAGGCATTATTAGGTAGGTGATTATGCATCTTGAAATTATTAACCATTTTTTTTCGTTTTAAAATAAAATTTATTTACAGCTACGAACGGTGTCACTTCAATATCAGACATGGATGTAATCAAAAAATTATCAACAAAAAAGTCGATTGTCGAACAAGCAAAACAATGGCAAACATATTTTTGCCGTTTGTTTCCAATATCGGTAAGATAATTACGAATGACTGAATGGATTTTACTTTGTAAACCCGATATAAATGCAGGAATAATACAAAAAGCCGGAGCAATATTGAAGATAGAGTTTTGTAATAAATGTTTGATCAAACAACAAGAAAAACGAGAAGAAAAACCGCAGAGTACATTACTAAAAAGAAAAATGAGAATGTGTTAATGAACTAACTATAAAAGATGGTATCTTCGTTGACTTTTTGTGAAACTCCTCCTATAACTCCATAGAATAGAGGAGTTGACGTTACATACTCGAAATCCTCCCCCTCTGGATGTTTACAGCCTCTTAAAATGGTGTGACGTGCCAGTTTAAGACGATGTGACCACCACAGGGGAGGTTAAAAAATGGCCAGAATCAAGGGCTTTCGAGTATAAACTTCAACTGCTCTTTCTTCCGGAGATATAGGAGGAGTTTTACAAAAGATGGTATCTTCCCAGTTTGCAAGCTAATTGATTTTTTATATATTTCAATTTTCCATTTTGCGAGCCAACTAGTTAAGAAAAAAATAAAGATTCTTTCGTTCTATAAGTAATCAGATTTTGTTAATGAAAGAATGAATAAAAATGATACAGCTTGCTATTACAAACCAACACTGTCAGAATACATTCCTATAAAACGCAAGTATTGATAAATATATTCCATCTTGACATATTCATTCCTTCTACGTCAGCTTTACAAAGTTCTTCTAAATTTGTAGTACTGGTATTGATTTGCCTCTTCTCTTCTTTTTCTCAAACAGTTTTTCCTGTAACTTACCTTATACCAATGATGAGCACCCTTTTTATTTCTTCGCCGTAATACATATATTCGTTTCTATCCATATGCAGATGCTTTTTACCACTACGACTATCACCGAAAGTTGCATAACTTTTGACTTAACGAAAACCGGGTATTCCAATATTGTAGAATCTCCATTTTACAGGCTTCGATGAACAATGTGTTGTTTTAGACGGTTTAATTCGAAACTTTGAATTTAGTCATTCGTCTTCGTCTGAAAAATTGACAACATTCGCATTCTAAGAATGCCTAGGAACACTTTGAATTTGATGTGTAATAGTCAGCTGTATTATTTTATTCTTTCTTTTATTAACAAAATCTGATTACTTATAGAACGAAAGGATCTACATTTGTTTCTGAATTGATTGGCTTGCAAAATGGGAAACTGAAAAATATATAAAAAATCAATTAGCTTGCAAACTAAGAATGAGTCATTACAGCCTAATGGTTTTTTTAAATTGGTTTTGAATATATTTAGAGATGGAAGTAGTACAAGAGAGGATGGTAGACTATTCCATTACTCAGACATTTTACGATAAAAGGAGCCTGATGAATGTTTGAGGTTGTAGGAACAAGTCTGATACGCTTATTGTATCCAAACCTCGATGATTGACTACAGGTCACGGATACTAAGAGGTTATTGAAAAACGAGAGGAAACTACTGCTATAGTAAATTTTGTAAAAAGGAGAGAGAAATATTGGCAATGTTCTGAAAGTGATTGTAATGTTAATTGTCGAATAAGTGAAGACCTAGAGTGGTCCTATGTGCTGATACATACAGTGAGATGCTGAATTTTATTCAGAAGAGATAGATAAGAAGAAGAAAAATAGAAATCTTCTCACCACCGAGTGCGCTGAGTACGAAAAAGCACTTTCTGCGACGCTATGTGAACTTCATTTTTCTCTCGATAATATGATGACTATAAACCAAAAAATATAAGTGCTGCGCCGAAAACACGCGAACAATTGATGTAAAAATGGAATGAAAATTGGCATTTAACAGATATTATAATGACTTTTTTTGACTTTGAAATAACGGTGAAAATAATGCCATACTATAGGCGATGTCCGAAAAAATGGCATTTTATGGACACCATTAAATGGCATTTTCGTCCATTTATTAAACCGCATTAACTAATGCCAAATAAAGGTGTCTGTTACATGTCCGCTTTGAGGCAGTTTTTTCTCCATTTGAAAATGGTAAAAAATGATCATAAATTGGCATTTAACAGCCATTTATGGTATGGTCATCAAGTCATTCACCGTTTTATTCTGTCATCATGACTAGTATAAATGACTCTGATTTTATATAATATATATTATAATTTAGAGTTTTTCTCTTCAGTTATACGAGTCGTAGAAACTTGTCTCGTAGAAGTGGTCTGTGGTTCTTGGATCGGTGCTCGTGATAGTACCTCAGGTTTTAGAAGACATTTTTTTGACATTTTCTAACGGACTAAAACTTGACATTTAAATGGCAAAAAAATGTGATCAGCACGGTTACTGACAGCAGTTAAATGCCTGTTATTTGACCGCTTTATGACATTTAAAAACATGCGAAATAAATGCATTTAAACGTTCCCAGTTTTAATGGCAGAAAACGACCTAAAAACTGGATCCACTGTCATAAAAATTCCATTTAAATGCATATTAATAACGTATTAAATGACATTTAATTGGCAATTAATTACACCGTTTTCGACGTCCTGGGTGGAGCATCACTGATTTAAAAGATACTGTAGAGCGGCTTGAGGAGTCAACGGCTACAGTTTGGGAACGTTCGAACAAATAAGACTGAAGCGATCCAGGAATCCCCGCTGATACAACTTTTTCTAGCAGTATAGTACGAAGAACTTTGTCAAAAGCTTTCTGAAGGGCAAATGCTAACCCTATTTGTTTTTTCTGTTTCTCCAAACACTCACAGAGCCTCTTAGTACCTAGAAGAATCATGGCAAACATTGGTGAATTTGATCAGAACCCAAACTAGTTAGACGAGAAAAAAGTTTGTTAATATTTAGAAAGCGAGATGTATCTGAACAATTTTTTGAAAAACTGTTGAGACATTTGAAAGAGAAGAAATAATAGATCTGCAGTTTTTAACTAATCATTTGCTATCTTTTTTTGTGAAGTGCTTTAATGAGTGCTTCTTTCTCAATTGAAGGAAAAATGTTTGTTTTAATAAAAAGAGAAAAGATATGATGTGACTGAGGAATGATGGGAATCTGATCTACATCCACGGAAGTCATTGTTTTTAAATCAGAAATCGTGCTAAAAATATCAAAAACATCGAAGTTTAAATCACATAATGATAGGAGTGGCAAAGACGCTTAGGAGAAGAAGACACTGGTGAGGAGAATGCCACTTGAAAAAATCAGCGAGCAGCTGCGCTTATCAATTTCCTATAAGATCTTACAAGATTTCATATGACATCTTGTAGCAAGATTCTTATAAGATTTTACAAGATTTTTCTTATCATAGGAATGTACAAGACCTTGTATGATCTTATAAGATCTTACACAAAGAAGGTATAAGAAATTATACGACCTTATAAGAAGTCACAAGATTTTATACGATCTTACAAGATCATACGCTTGATCATTTCCTGTC